CACTGCTATTATTTATCATTTACTTACAGAGCACCGTTCATAACCCTGGCACAGTAACTTATCCCAAAAGTACACAGTCTAAGATATTATTCTTGTTATGATTATGTATAGTATTATTATGTGATTATTATTAATATTACTGTCATTATTGATGGGGGTTGCAGCCTGAGCAGGTCTTGGGATGATGGGAATTCCAACCCATCTTCATATATATGAGTCAAATGCTGTCTGTGCCACAAAGGCTGTTGCTAGGTGAAGTGGCCCTCTGTGACGTCACTGGGTTGCCTGTTGCTGATGCATATTATATATATCTATATCTATATATATCTGAAGGCATATAATAAATATAATCTGCGTAGATGATAGAATATTATAAGTATCTACACACATATATATATCTGAATATATATATATATATATATATATATACTCTGCATAGTTGATAAATTATTATAAAAAGTATTTGCATATTATATATGTGTGTGTATATATAAATATATTTCTGTAGACATATATATATAATCTGCAAAGACAATAGACTATTATATATATATATTTCTGAATATATATATAATCTGCATAGATGATAGGCTCATATATATAGTATATATGTGTGTGTGTGTATATATATATATTTCTGAAGACATATATATAATCTGCATAAATTAGAGGCTATTATATATATGTATAATATAAGAAAGGGAGAAAGAAAGAAAGAAAGAAAGGGAGGGAGAAAGAAAGAAAGAGAGAAAGAAAGAAAGGGAGAAAGAAAGAAAAGAAGAAAGAAAGAGAGAGAGAAAGAAAGAAAGGGAGAAAGGAAGAAAGAAAGAGAGAGAGAAAGAAAGAAAGGGAGAAAGAAAGAAAGAAAAGGAGAAAGAAAGAAAGAAAGAAAGGGAGAAAGAAAGAAAAGGAGAAAGAAAGAAAGAAAAGGAGAAAAATCCTGAAGATCCTAGAGTTTCCCTAGAGGGAACATATTAATCAAATTCATGAAAGTAAAACCCGTAAATGTGGAGGTCTGGTTATCATGGAAAACCTATCAATACAACTGAAATCCAAGTTTATGCTACAGATAAAGAACTACAGATAGAGAAAGAAGAAATTGAAGGATTCTGTGCTGGAGCCCAGGAGGAAAATGACCACGTGCCAAAACAGGATTTCTTGTTGATTGTAGGAGATTGGAATGCAAATATAGGAAACAGAGCAGAATCAAAGATTTATAGGAAATTTTGGATTACTCAAACCACTGCACCATGCCCTGTGGACTAAGCCACTTGGAACCCTTGGTTATTGGTGTCTGTTGCAAACAGTGACCGTACTCACTGTTTTCCCCTCTCAAAAACAAGTCATGCCAGACTAATCTGATCTCTTTCTTCGATAGAGCTACAAGCTGGGTAGATGCGGGGTATGCCGTGGATGTAGCGTACCTGGATTTCAGTAAGGCCTTCGACAAGGTCCCCCATGACCTTCTGGCAAGGAAACTAGTCCAATGTGGGCTAGGCAAAACTACGGTGAGGTGGATCTGAATTGGTTAAGTGGACGAACACAGAGAGTGCTCACTAATGCTTCCTCTTCATCTTGGAAAGAAGTGACAAGTGGAGTGCCGCAGGGTTCCGTCCTGGGCCGGGTCCTGTTCAACATCTTTATTAATGACTTAGATGAAGGGCTAGAAGGCATGGATCATCAAGTTTGCAGACGACACCAAATTGGGAGGGATAGCCAATACTCCAGAGGACAGGAGCAGAATTCAAAACGATCTTGACAGATTAGAGAGATGGGCCAAAACTAACAAAATGAAGTTCAACAGGACAAATGCAAGATACTCCACTTTGGCAGAAAAAAATGAAATGCAAAGATACAGAATGGGTGACGCCTGGCTCGAGAGCAGTACGTGTGAAAAAGATCTTGGAGTCCTCGTGGACAACAAGTTAAACATGAGCCAACAATGTGATGTGGCGGCAAAAAAAGCCAATGGGATTTTGGCCTGCATCAATAGGAGCATAGTGTCTAGATCTAAGGAAGTAATGCTACCCCTCTATTCTGCTTTGGTTAGACCACACCTGGAATATTGTGTCCAATTCTGGGCACCACAATTCAAGAGAGATATTGACAAGCTGGAATGTTTCCAGAGGAGGGCGACTAAAATGATCAAGGGTCTGGAGAACAAGCCCTATGAGGAGCGGCTTGGGAACTGGGCATGTTTAGCCTGAAGAAGAGAAGGCTGAGAGGAGATATGATAGCCATGTATAAATATGTGAGAGGAAGCCACAGGGAGGAGGGAGCAAGCTTGTTTTCTGCTTCCTTGGAGACTAGGACGCGGAACAATGGCTTCAAACTACAAGAGAGGAGATTCCATCTGAACATGAGGAAGAACTTCCTGACTGTGAGAGCCATTCAGCAGTGGAACTCTCTGCCCCGGAGTGTGGTGGAGGCTCCTTCTTTGGAAGCTTTTTAGCAGAGGCTGGATGGCCATTTGTCAGGGGTGATTTGAATGCAATATTCCTGCTTCTTGGCAGGGGGTTGGACTGGATGGCCCATGAGGTCTCTTCCAACTCTTTGATTCTATGATTCTATGATTCCCCCAGGCAGGAAGCAACAGGACCCCAGTTCACGAAGCGGCCAGGGGAGGGGAGACTGTCCAACTACGAGAGCTCATTGAGAATGGCGCCTGCGTCAACCTGGTCACCTACGACTCCATCACGCCGCTGCACGAGGCCAGTCTCCGAGGACAGACGCAATGCGTGGAAATGCTCCTTGCTGCCGGAGCCCAGGTAGGTGCAGACTAGTCGGGTCTAATAACAACATAGGATGCTCAAGTCCCATTATAAACAATCTATATAAATAAAAATGTAATGTTCGTTTGTGGGATTAACAGAACTCAAAAACCACTGAGGGAATTGTCACCAAATTTGGACACGATACAACTAACAACCCAATGTATGTCCTTCACTCAAAAAAACAACGAAAACAAAAAACAGAAATGACTTCTAAGCTGCATGTCCACAAAGGAGAAACTGCATGCCCACAGAGACCCATGGCCACGCCCCCTCCTCCTTGCGCGCATGGACAGCCACACAAGCGAGAGTGGGCACCATGGGAATGTGGGTGGAGCTTGCCGCATGGAGCCCCTTCCCTTTCCCTGCTATGTCAGGAGGGCGGTCTCCTCCTCCTCCTCCTTTCCCTGTTGGAAGAGGAAGGGGCGGATGAGTGGCAGCGGCAGCAGTGGAGCCCCCAGGCAAGGAAGAAGGGGAGGAGGAGGAGGCGAGGAAGGTCAACGGTGCTTGAGTGAAGGAGCTTCCTTCTCTCCCTCACTCCCTTCCCTTCTTTCCTCCCTTTCCTTCCTTTCTCCCTTTCTTGTTGATTGTTTCCAAATGCCGGCTGAGATCTTTTGACACGGCACCCAGTGTGCGGATCATCACTGGGACCACCTGCACTGGTTGATGCCAGAGCCTTTACAGTTCGATTTTGAGGTCTTGGTAATGGCTGACATAAGTTCCAATAAACCATTTGGGCCACAGAGTTGTGCCTCTGTTTGTGGTCCATCTGTACGATTTTCTTGCAGCAGCTGAGGATATCCTCAATGATTTCATCAGCTTCCTTACACAGTCTGCATTTTGGGTCATCAGCTGGCCTTAATAGAGGTGGGGGGGGGGGCTGAATGCAGTTCAGATGATGGGTCAGAGAGGCCTGTATTGCTGCAAGAGGATTCTCAAGGTCTTGAGCCTGGGAAAGACTCTTCGCCACAGTCCCCTGGTCATTTATCTCCAGGTGCAGATTTTAACGAAGCCTTGAACAGAAGAAGTGTTTTTAACCAACAAAAACAAACAAGCCATCAATTACAGCACTCAGCCAGATTACAGCAGAAGTTAGAAGTGAAACCAAAGTTAAGGAAAAATCTGTTCTTCGCTGTTTGGGAAATAGGGCAGGGATATAAGTGCCAAGTACAGAATCTAGCTTCAGACGAAGCAATGTTGAATTTACATTAAGTTCCTGGACTCTTGTCTTTGTTTGATTCTTGTTTTAAGTTCCTTTGCTGTTATTTGCCTTTGAAATCAAGTTCTAGTTTCATGGACTTCTTTGGCTATTTCTCTTTGGATTAATTGCTCCTTTTTCTTCCTAATCAATTGGATTTACCTTTTACTCTGGATTACTTTTTATTGCTTTGGCTTTTATTACCTTCAATAAACTGCTTGCTATTTTAACTCAACCATGTGGTGTTTAAAGTCAGAGGGGATCCCGCTCTGGAGTGCAACAAGCAGTCCTACTTGAGAGTTCCTTAACGTCCTATTTTTTTCACACCGCAGGTTGATGCTCGGAACATTGACGGGAGCACCCCGCTCTGTGACGCCTGTGCCTCTGGGAGCATCGACTGTGTGAAGGTCCTGCTCTCCCATGGGGCCAAGGTCAACCCGCCCCTCTACACTGCCTCTCCCCTCCACGAGGCCTGCATGAATGGTAAATCAACAGCAGCCTTGGGAGGATTCAAGAGATGGAGAGTGCACCATCCTCTCATAGAGTCAGACATGGGCAAACTTGGGCCCTCCAGGTGTTTTGCTCTTCACCCAATATCTTCACATCTGATGACTGTGTCCGTCTTCAAGGCATTGTCTGTTCTAGAGCTTTTCCATGACCTTCTGGCAAGGAAACTAGTCCAATGTGGGCTAGGCAAAACTACGGTGAGGTGGATCTGTAATTGGTTAAATGGACGAACCCAGAGGTGCTCACTAATGCTTCCTCTTCATCTGGAAAGAAGTGACGAGCGGAGTGCCGCAGGGTTCCGTCCTGGGCCCGGTCCTGTTCAACATCTTTATTAATGACTTAGATGAAGGGCTAGAAGGCAGGATCATCAAGTTTGCAGACGACACCAAATTGGGAGGGAGAGCCAATACTCAAGAGGACAGGAGCAGGATTCAAAACGATCTTGACAGATTAGAGAGATGGGCCAAAACTAACAAAATGAAGTTCAACAGGGACAAATGCAAGATACTCCACTTTGGCAGGAAAAACGAAATGCAAAGATACAGAATGGGGGACAATGCCTGGCTCGAGAGCAGTACGTGTGAAAAAGATCTTGGAGTCCTCGTGGACAACAAGTTAAACATGAGCCAACAATGTGATGTGGCGGCAAAAAAAAGCCAATGGGATTTTGGCCTGCATCAAGAGGAGCATAGTGTCTAGATCTAGGGAAGTATGCTACCCCTCTATTCTGCTTTGGTTAGACCACACCTGGAATATTGTGTCCAATTCTGGGCACCACAATTCAAGAGAGATATTGACAAGCTGGAATGTGTCGAGAGGAGGGCGACTAAAATGATCAAGGTCTGGAGAACAAGCCCTATGAGGAGCAGCTTAAGGAGCTGGGCATGTTTAGCCTGAAGAAGAGAAGGCTGAGAGGGGATATGATAGCATGTATAAATATGTGAGAGGAAGCCACAGGGAGGAGGGAGCAAGCTTGTTTTCTGCTTCCTTGGAGACTAGGACGCGGAACACGGCTTCAAAGGAAGGAGATTCCACCTGAACATGAGGAAGAACTTCCTGACCGTGAGAGAGAGTGGTTCAGCAGTGGAACTCTCTCTCTGACCTGGAGTGTTGTCGGGTGGAGGCTCCTTCTTTGGAGGCTTTTAAGCAGAGGCTGGATGGCCATTTGTCAGGGGTGATTTGAATGCAATATTCCTGCTTCTTGGCAGAATGGGGTTGGACTGGATGGCCCATGAGGTCTCTTCCAACTCTTTGATTCTATGATTCTATGATTTTCCAGTGATTTGGTCTCCTCTCCTCTTTTCTTTTCAAGGCAGTGCCGAGTGCGTTCGCCTCCTGGTCGACATGGGTGCAAACCTGGAAGCTCACGACTGCCACTTTGGCACCCCGTTGCACGTGGCATGTGCCAGGGAACACCTGGACTGTGTGAAGATTTTGCTCAATGCAGGTGAGCGAGACCTAGGAAGGTATGCGCTTTTTCCGTTTGCAGGTTGAGCCTCCTTTGGCCAAAATGCGAAGGATGAGACATTTGCCAGATTTCAGAATACCAATATTTGCAGATGCGTCCCAAATGAGGGAAGGGGTGCTAGGCACACATCCAACACCTGCTGAGTTTTCAGCACACTTACTTACTTACTTACTTACTTATTTATAGCCTGCTTTTCTCCCACAAGTAAGACTCAAATGGTTAAAAACAAAAATTTCATGATATAAGAACACAACATCATCTCCCCAACACAAGCAAATAGACAATAAACCAACACATTACATGATTAACTGGATATTTTTATTACAAAAGTGTGAGTCAAACACTGAAAGAGTGAGTAGGCTGAAGCCTGTTAAAGTCAGTGGGCCAATGCTAGTGTCCTCCTGAGGAGAGTGAGTAAGCCACGAAGTGGTCCCTCAAGTAGACTGCCCATTTAGGGCAGTGTTTCTCAACCTTCTTAATGCCGTGACCCCTTAATGCAGTTCCTCATGTTGTGATGACCCCCAACCACAACATTATTCTTGTTGCTACTTCATAACTGTAATTGTACTCCTGCTATGAATTGTAATGTAAATATCTGATATGCAGGATGTATTTCCATTCACTGGACCAACTTTGGCACAAATACCCGATATGCCCAAATTTGAATACTAGTGGGGTTGATTTTGTCAATTGGGAGTTGTAGTTGCTGGGATTTATAGTTCACCTACAATCAAAGAGTATTCCACACTCCACCAACGATAGAATTGAACCAAACTTGGCACGTGAAACTCCCATGACCAACAGAAAATACTGGAAGGGTTTGGTGGGCATTGACCTTGAGTTTGGGAGTTGTAGTTCACCTAGATCCAGAGAGCACTGTGGACTCAAGACAGTGATGGATCTGGACCAAACTTGACACGAATACTCAATATGCCCAAATGTGGTGGTGTTTGGGGGAAATAGACCTTGACACTTGTGAGTTGTAGTTGCTGGGATTTATAGTTCATCTACAATCAGATAACATTCTGAATCCCATCAATGATAGAATTGGCCCAAACTTCCCACACAGAACCCCCATGGCCAACAGAAAATATTGTGTTTTCTGATGGTCTTTGGTGACCCCTCTAACACCCTCTCATGACCCCTCCAGGGGTCGCGACCCCCAGGTTGAGAACCACCTTGAATTGCACCCGGAAACAGGCTGGAAGCCAGTGTAGCTGTTTCAGAAGCAGTGTAATTCTTGCCCTATATCCCGCTCTCATAAGCCATCTAGCAGCTGACCTTTGAATGATTTGCAGTTCCTGAACGCTCTTCTGGGGCAGCCCTATGTAGAGCGTGATACAGTAGTCTAGTCTGGATGTGACTAAGGTGTGTACTTCCATAACCAGAAGGTGAGCACAGAAGGATCTAGGACAGGCATGGGCAAACTTCAGCCCTCCAGGTGTTTTGGAATTTAACTCCCACATTTAGGCTGTTAGGAATTGTGGGAGTTGAAGTCCAAAATACCTGGAGAGCCCAAGTTGATCCAGGCCTGCTCTGTAGTAACTCAGCAAAGTTGAAATTCTACACTCAAGCACCAAGGAGCAAATTTGCTTGATGCCTCTCCTTTCAGGAGTTCCCTGTAGCATGCCGACCTTATGCGTCTGTTTGACTTTTATTTATTTTGGTGCCCCCAGGAGCCAATGTGAATGCTGCCAAACTCCACGAGACGGCTCTCCACCACGCCGCCAAAGTGAAAAACGCTGATCTGGTGGAGATGCTGGTCGAATTTGGAGGGAACGTTTGGGCCCGGGACAACCAAGGCAGGAAGCCTTCCGACTACGCCTGGAGCAGCAGCCCCGCGGCCAAATGCTTTGAGCATTACGAAAGTGAGTCAGGCCCAGAGTTTGGACAAGTTCCTTTTCTTTTAACTGGAACTCTAATAATAATAATAATAATAATAATAATAATAATCCAGCATGGCTGGGGGATTTGGGGAATTGCAATACTAAATATCGTTGCTGTGCGTCTGTGTAAATGTATTGTCAAAGGCTTTCATGGCTGGAATCACTGGGTTGTTGTAGCTTTTTTGGGCTATATGGCCATGTGCTAGAAGCATTCTCTCCTGACATTTCGCCTGCATCTATAGCAAGCAGATGTTGCTTCTAGAACATGGCCATATTGCCCGAAAAACCTACAACAACCATGTCTGTATAAATGTTTGCCTCTATACTCCTTGCCTCGATACCAAGTATGTGCAAACTTTGGCCCTCCAGGTGTTTTGGACTTATTTATTTATTTATTACTAGCCTTCCCCTGCCATGCGTTGCTGTGGCCCAGTTCATGTGTATGTGTTTTGTGTGTATATATATTTGTGTATATGTGTATATATATGTGGTTTGTGCATGCATCATAATGTATTTTTAATTTTTTTTTTGCTTTTAAAGTCTCCTCCACTATGTTTTCCAGTGTTTTTATGAGTAATGATCACTTGTTGGCCTGAGAGGTGTCTTGTGTCCAAATTTGGTGTCAATTCGCCCAGTAGTTTTTGAGTTATGTGAATCCCACGAACAAACATTACATTTTTATTTATATAGACTAGCTGTACCCGCCACGCATTGCTGTGGCCAACCTTCCCTCCCTCTTTCTCTCCTCTCTTTCTCTCCTTCTCTCTTTCTCTTCCTTCCTTCCTTCCCTCTTTTTCATTTCCTTCCTCTTTCCCTTCTTCTTTCTTCCTTCTCTACCTGGTTCTTTCTTCCCTTCCTTTGCTCTTTGGTTCCATCCTTCCCTCTCTCTTTCCTTCCTTCTTTTGCTTTTTTTATTTCCTTCTTCCTTCTCTACCTTTCTTTCTTTCTCTCCTTCCCACCGTCTTTCTCTCTTGCTCTCCCTCCTTCTCTTTCCTTCCTTCCCTCCCCCTTTCTGTGTATATGTGTTTTGTGTGTGTATATATGCATATATATGTGTGTATATATATTTGTGTGTGTGTATATGTGTGTGTTTGTGTATATATGTGGTTTCGCACATGCGTTGTAATGTATTTTTGGTTTTTTGCTTTTAAAGTCTCTTTTGCTGTGTTTTTCAATGTTTTATGAGTGATGGTCACTCGTTGGCCTGAGAGGTGTATTGTGTCCAAATGTGGTGTCAATTCGCCCAGTAGTTTTTGAGTTATGTTTCTCCCACAAACTAACAGTACATTTTTATTTATATAGATTTTATTTACAGTATTTATATTCTGCCCTTCTCACCCCACAAGGGACTCAGGGCATATTACAATGCACATATACATGGCAAACATTCAATGCCAGTTAGACATCCAAGATATAAATAGACAGGTACAGAGGCAATTTAACTTTCCAGCTTTCCGGCTTCATGAGGGTATGCTCGATTCCAGCCGCAGGGGAAGCTGCCACTTCACTGTCCATTGTGACATCGAGTCCTTTGATGGAGTACTTCCTCATTCTTCTGCACGCTGCTGGAAGGTTTTATGGTGTCGTAAATTAGTTAAATTATCCTCCCAGCATAAAGCGGTACCTAAATGTTCTGGCTTCTGGGCTGCATAGGTCAACAGCAAGCTAGACTAATAGCCAGAAGCTTACTCCGACCTGGGATGGCTTTGAACTCATGATCTCTCGGTCAGTAGTGATTTAATGCAGCTAGCTCCCAGTTAGCTGCGCCACTGACCGGTGTGTTAGGAATGGTGGGAGTTGAAGTCCAAAGCCAGCTGTTAGGAATGGTGGGAGTTGAAGTCCAAAACACCTAGAGGGTCAAAGTTTGAACATGCCTGCTCTATACACTCATCCTCTTCGTTTATTTCCTTCTCCCAGAAACCCCCCTAAGCTTGTCCCAGCTCTGCCGACTCAGCCTGAGACGAGCCATCGGCCAGCGCGGGCTGGAGAAGGTGGCCCAACTCCACATCCCTCCACGATTAATTGAATTCGTCTCCTACAAATGAGCAACCACCCAAAGGGCAAGGACATCACCGCCTAGATGCACGCCTGTACCAGACTCTGTCCACGTTGACTCTCAGGCCACCTGTCCTTACCTTTCCCCGAAGACTTGGCTTCAATGTAATGGATGTAAATACTATTTATGAGCAATTAGTAATTTAAAGACTTTCTGACGGGGTCCCTTGTGACAACCCGTCCTCGAAGAGCACTTTGCATTTTTATGGTGCTTTTTCTAAGCACACGGAGACAGTACGGCAACTTGCACTTTTCTTCTTATCCCGGCATTCTGGTTGGGAAAAGATACAGCACTTGCATTCAGACTGGAAATGTTGTTCCACAGCTACTTCTTATAATGGCATGAATGTCAACAAGTTGGCAGAAATGGCCTTTTAGCAGAGCAAGGCGCATTCGGCATCTTTTGGCCCCTTTGCATGCTGGGTCCCACGTTTTGCTCCTTCCAATAAAACTGGAATCTCTCAATTTCCTGCATACTGTATTTATGCCCAGTGTTTGAGGGAGTGAGCAAGGTCTGTTGGGCGAGTGGGCTTATTACTGTGCGAAGCAACCTGTCCATATAATGAACTAGGATTCATGAGTTATTGACCTCATATTTACACTAAGCAGCAGTTCTCAACCACAGAGAAGGCCCTCTCCCTCATACCCACCAATCGCGCCTGCGAAGGGAGCAGGAGTGAGAGCAGGGCCTCTCCAGATGATCGAAGAGATTGTGTGGGTTCGTACACAGAAATGCGGTCACGCAGGTAAGCAGGTCCCAAACCGTTCCGGGCTTTGTAGGTGAGAACCTGCACCTTGAATTGGGACCGGAAAATGAATGGCAGCCAGTGGAGCTTCTTAAACAGAAGGGTTGACCGCTCCCTATAAGTCGCTCCAGTTAGTAACCTGGCTGCCGTCCGTTGTACCAATTGAAATTTCCTAGCCGTCTTCAAGGGCAGCCCCATGTAGAGTGCATTGCAGTAGTCCAATCTGGACCACCATGGCCAGATCCGACTTCACGAGGTACGGTCGCAGCTGGCGCATGAGTTTCAATTGTGCAAAGGCACTCCCAGCCACTGCTGACGCCTGGGCTTCAAGCATTAGTTATGAGTTTAAGACAGTGGTTCTCAACCTTGGGTCCCCAGATGTTTTTGGCCTACAACTCCCAGAAATCCTAACAGCTGATAACTGGCTGGGATTTCTGGGAGTTGTAGGCCAAAAACATCTGGGGACCCCAGGTTGAGAACCACTGGTCTAGGAGGACACCCCGACTGCGGACCTGTGACTTCAGGGGGAGTGCAACCCCATCAAGCACACGTTGCCACCCTATACCCCCATCCAGCTTACGATCGCCCAGGAGAACCTCTGTCTTGTCAGGATTGATCCTTAGCTCATTCATCCTCATCCAGACAGCCACAGCGGCCAGGCACTCGTCCAGTACTATGACTTCCTTCAGTCTCAACACTATACTTCTATGGAATCACATTGGCTTTTTTAGCTGCTGCATCACACTACTGACTCATGCTCAACTTTTTTTGGTGTACTAAGACTCTTAGATCCCTTTCCCCTAGACCAGTGATGGGCAACTTTTGAGCTTGGTGTGTCGAAATTTGCTAAAAACCTGAGCATAACTTGGGTGGGGTGTCAACTTTGAGAAAAAAACAACAACATTTTGCAATATTTATAGTTTAAATAAGAAAAATGTATATTCCATGCTGAGTTATGGAGTGAACAATACTCAAACATGCAGATGTTAAATTTGTAGAGACTTTTACAAATTTAAGGATGGAATTAGTTTGGCTCTTATAAGGTGCACTTCTCTGTATGCAGCTGCATGTGGCCGCGTGTCATCAAAAATAGCCATGCGTGTCAGTGCTGACACGCGTGTCATAGGTTCACCATCACGGCCCTAGACTGTTTCCAAGCCAGGTGTCTCCCATTCTATATCTGCACCTTTCATTTTTTATTGCAAAAGTCTAGCACTATCCATTTCTCGCTGTTGCAATTCATTTTGTTAGTTTTGGATTGTGATGAACATACTTGACCCAGCTGTCCAGACTGCCCCAAATCCCCGGGTTCCTCCGACTTTGCCTAAAATAAAGCAAAGCTCAAAACCTCATTCATTCCAAGTTCTGGCTTTGCTTGATGCTTAGGCTTCCTCGATTTGCTTCCAGCCCTTCTGCTCTTTGCATCAAGGCTTGTGCCGTGGTGAAGCTCAGTTCCAGATGTGGCCTCCGCTTGAGAGAGCCTCCTTTTGCAGCCACACAATCCCTCCTGCTGGGCCTTGCAGACTGCTGCTCGGAGCCATTGTTGACGTTGGCTGGCGCCAAAGGGAAGACTCTGAATCATTGCTAGTCAGTGGCTTCATTCCAGACTCCGGGCCAAAGACAACAAGGTGGGTCAGGAGGGGGAAAAAATCTTCCAAATGGTGAAGGACTCACAGTTTGGGCTGGATCCTGTATTATGCTTGCAAAGTATAATTCGACACCCAAGTACTGACACCATGGCTGCACCATCCATCTGCAGTGTACATTGTGCATCTTGCCATTATTATTATTATTATTATTATTATTATTATTATTATTATTATTATTATCTTTCTTTGTACCCTGCTAGCATCTCCCGAAGGACTCGATGCGGCTTACTTACAAAGGCCAAGGCCTCAAAACACAGCATAACAATACAACACCTAAAGCTAATTAAAAACAGTTAAAGCAATATTAAACAACAAGCATTAACAATACAACAAAACACTATAAAACTGGGCCGGGCCAGAGTAATGGGTACAAGGTTAAATGTGCTGATGTGACAGGTGATATGTAAGGATTATAGGGTAAGTGCAGTGTGCGGCAATCTCAATTCTAGTAAAGTGCTTCTGGGACTTGTTGTTGGAGATTCCTATTCTGGGAAGGCACATCGGAACAGCCAGGTCTTCAAGGTCTTTCTAAAGACTGCCAATGTAGGGGCCTGTCTAAGATCTTTGGGGAGGGTGTTCCAGAGTCGGGGGCCACCACAGAAAAGGCCCTGTCTCACGTCRCCACCAAACYCGCCTGCYACGCAGGTGGGATCGTGAGCAGGGTCTCTCCGGATGATCGAAATGAGCGCGTGGGTTCATAAACGGAGARGCGGTCATGCAGGTAGGATGGTCCCAAACTGTTTAGGGCTTTGTAGGTAAGCACCTGCACCTTAAATTGGGCTCGGAAAATAAACAGCAGCCAGTGGAGCTCCTTGAACAGGAGGGTTGACCTCTCTCTGTAATGAGCCATGTATGTCTGCTCCTTGTCTCATTCTGAATAAAGGAATAGTGCAAAGGGGCTCTTTCTGCCATCCTGGTGAATCAAATTTACCCTTCTTTATGCTATCCAAAACACACACACATGGCAGAAGAGGGCTGGACTGGATGGCCCTTGGAGTTTCTCCAATTCCATGAAACCTTGAGCCTCAAAGCCTAAGCAGGTAAGGTGTCTCTGATCCATAAGTGAAGTTGGCTAGGGGCGTGATAGGAGCGGTCACCCCGAGATGTCATTCTTTCCTGGAAAGCATTCTTTTCTCATCCAATTCAACAGCAGTTGCTCAACCAGAAAAACTTGCACAGAGGCTAGGATTTGATCCTTGCATGAAAGACGGGGAGGGGTCTTTTCGAAACTCTGCCTGTAATTGCTTCCAGACCCAAACGCTTCACCTTTCCCTATGGCCTCTTCCTGAAGGCGAGAGGCGACGGGTCTCCTTTCCTTTCTCCTTAACCAGCTCCATCTGGAAACTGGGCCCTTTGTTTGCTTTGGACTCGAGTGCGAGTCCCGGAGAGGTGCGGCTTGACATATTTTCCTCTCGAAACCCCCATTCCCCTTCGGTAGGCCTTACAGTAAAAGAGCTGTTGGTCTGCCAAGGTGTGCGTGTGGGGTTTTGTTTGGCTTTTCCTGCAGAAGGTACATCTGCTTCCCAGATCCTCTGCAACGTGAACCCAAAAACAGAACCAGCCACTCCTTGATTCACTTTGATGATGTATTCTTTGTTTTAGAATTATATGGTTGGAAAGACCACAAAGACCATACGGTCCAACCCCCCTGTGTTTTTAATATATGTATTTGTATGGTCCTTTGTTTAATCCATGTAGAATAACAACAACAACAACAACAACAACAAGAAGCTCGGCCTCTCATTGAACATTGAGAAAACCAAAGTGCTCTTCCAACCGTCACCAGTCAATCCCTCTCCAATGCCAGGTGTAACATTAGAAAATATTGACCATTTCCACTCCCTTGGCAGCCACCTCTCCACCAAAGTCAACATTGACACTGAAATACAACACCACCTGAGCTCTGCGAGTGCAGTATTCTTCCGAATGAAGCAGAGAGTGTTTGAGGACCGGGATATCCGTAGGGATACCAAGGTCCTTGTTGATAAAGCTATTGTCCTCCCAGCCCTGCTATACACCTGCAAGACGTGGACTGTCTACAGACGTCACATGCAACTCCTGGAACGATTCCATCAGCGCTGCCTCCGGAAAATCCTGCAAATCTCTTGGGAAGACAGGCAGACAAATGTCACTGTGCTGGAAGAAGCAAAGACCACCAGCATTGAAGCAACGCTCTTCTGCCATCAACTCCACTGGACTGGCCATGTCCGAATGCCCAATCACTGTCTCCCAAAGCAATGACTCTACTCTGGACTCAGGAATGGAAAACGGAATAGTTTTTGGACAGGAAAAGAGATTGAAAGATGGGCTCAAAGCCAACCTTAAAAATTCTGGCATAGACACTGAGAACTGGGAAGCCCTGGCCCTTGAGCGCTCCAGCTGGAGGTCAGCTGTGACCAGCAGTGCTGCAGAATTCAAAGAGGTACAAATGGTGGGTGAAAGGGAGAAAATGTGCCACGAGGAAGGCCAAGCCTGACCAGGACTGCCTTCCATCTGGAAACCGGTGCCCTCACTGCAGGAGAAGATGCAGATCAAGATTAGGGCTCCACAGTCACCTACGGACCCATCGCCAAGACACCACATTTGGAAGACAATCATCCTCAAGCTACGAGGGATCACCTAAGTAAGTAAATAAGTAAGTAAGTAAATAAGTAAGTAATAATTTATTTTAACTATGCTGTGCCCTGCCTTGAACCATGGAGAGACAGGTAACAAATACATAAATGATCGTAAAAATTGTTATCCCTCCCAGTTGGCTCAGGCAAAAGCAATCTGCTGCAGTTTCCAATTTAATCTGGTGATGTCTCCTTCATTTCCCTCATCCATCTTCCCTCCTCTTTTCTATCTTTCTATCTTTCTATCTTTCTCTCTTTCTTTCTTTCTTTCTTTCTTTCTTTCTTTCTTTCTTTCTTTCTTCTTTCCATTCTTTCTTTCCATTCCCTTCTTTTCCTTTCTTTCCTTTTCCTTCCCTCCTCTACCTTTTCCTCTTTCCTTTTTTCTTCCTCCCTCCCTCCTTTCCTTCCTTCCTCTTTCTTTGTCCTTTCTTTTTTCCCTTTCCTTCTATTTTTCC